CAATTGGCTCGCTAGCTGTATAAAAGGTTAGGGGCGTTTCCGCCCTAGTTGGAGAACTCCACGATTCCCCCTGGAGTGGAACTCCGGCAGCTTGATCACCTGCCAACGACTCCGTCGGCGAAGCCTTGTGATGTACCCTCCGTGTTGCATGCCCGAGTTAGACCCGAGCTACCCGGTCTACAAGAGCTCCTCGATTAACGATTAAAGAATAGAATTGTTGCAACTACGATTGCCTGCGCTGTATACGACTCTACACTGTAAGTAAAGCTACCTCTGTTTTTCCAATTGATACGTGTCTCGTTTGTGCCTAATTCCTCTCCGGTGATAGAGAGTACCCATCTACCCGTCACGGGATCGCAGCCGCAACCCCAGCTAGCGTTCCCAAGGACTCCTGATCCTCGATTCCCCCTCGGCCCCCACAACATCCATGTTAAAATGAGTTCTACCAACAAAAATCTGAAATTTTGCTGGCAAAATTAAACCAGCGCTGTCACCATAGATGACAAACCAATATACTTTAGCCAGCACAACACTATAAATACAGAAGCAGCTATACCAGTAAGAACACCACAGTAACAAAGCCACAACACAGCTAATTTGCAGCCTACAGCAGGGAGTGTTCTGGCCCAATATTTGATGATTACTACCCAGAGGTTACAGTCATCAGAACTCCCTCCGTTCTCCAACGCCCACTCTCTTGCAAATACTTAATTACTTTCTACGTCAAATGTGCATGAATTGCTGAAGTGAAACACCAAGAAAACCTTAGTTAGTAAAGATTTCATTCTTTCCTTAAGCTCTGGCCTTTCCTGCTTAAGGAAACATTTATTACAGTTGAAAGTGTGCCTGGAGGCTTAGAAAGCTTTTCACCAACTACCCACCCCACTCCTTCAGGATGAATCAAAGCTGCACAATCATTTCTGCTTTTGTTCTGCAGGCAGGTTTGACCTGACATTTTGGACTGAGGAGCTATATGAGGTCTTATTCCAAGCTATGCTGGAAAAAAGCCACAAATGGAACTAGCCATTAGGAGCACAACTATGCAATCACAGCCATCTTACCACAGTAAGTTCCCATTCTTTCAAACCACACATTAAACAAAAACGTAGTGTTTATGGCTGATGAGAGAACAAAGCAGTTTTCATCTGGACTCCCTCCTGTAAACACAGTACTCACCCTGGTGAGACAGCAGGGGGAATGACCAGTGTTAGCTTAAGTCGTGCCTTATGCATTGCTTCAGAGAGGTGAGTGAGTAGATGAATCAGCTCCCTGCAATATAAAACACATTGTTAGGGCTCTAGACAGTATATATGGTGCCAGACTAGTAATTTAACAAATAAGACTAGAAACAACAACTGAAGGGATACAACAAGCAAGGCACTTCTATTGAACATTTCTAACAAGTTGGGGATCCTATACATGTGCAAGGAGGCTGCTTCGATGCGCTGCAAGGAGCAGACTCAATTAAATCAAGTCTACTGGAGCGTGGCAATTACTGCGCTCCAGCAGACACTAGCATCATGTGCATCAGCATCTCTACCTTGAAAAGTGGTGGCGGGGCACTTTAAACTAAAGCTCATTTGATGACCTTTAGTTCGAATCGCCCTGCTGCCATTTTTCAGCATGGGGACTCCAATACACACGATGGGCACTAGCATGGCTCTTGGAGCTGCATTAGTTAAAGTACCCACCCTCCACCCCTGCCTCCTGGAGCATGTCTATAAACAAACACAGTCCAGGCAAATGAGTCAAGGCATTAGGATTAGTGCACAGTTAGAGGTACTCGTATACCATTTAGAATAGGTTACTAGACTGGGGATAAAGTTCGGCAAGTTTTAAAAATTTAGTTTAGTTTATCTCTGCCTTTTTAGCATGCAAAATGGTCTCAAACAGCACAAAGAGTTTAGAATTTCCCCCAGGAACACCATCGGCAATGCAGAAACATTGTAGTGTATATCAAATGTATTCTAATCAGAACAGGTTCACCCTTATGGTCATGTTCAGTGAGAGAGAGGAGCCAAAGCAACAGAATTGAACACTGTTCAAGAACAGGGAACAGTCAAATGGACTCATCATTGTACTAGTGAATCTGAGGTTAGGAAACGTGAAGCTGCTTTCATAGCATAATATACAAGTCTTCAAAAAATGTTTGAAGAACAAAAGAAGATTGACAAATTTTTGCTTCCATGTTTTCTGTATTTATTTTAGACATGCTACTCTATATGCACAAAGTAGCCAACGGGTTTCACAAGAGTTTGCCTTGCCTCTAACTCATCTGAATTACTCATCCTTTATTTGTGATACAGTAAGACTTCCAGCAGTGAGGATTCCTAGCACTCAGATGTATCATTAGGAAATAAAAACTCTTCAAGATCCTCCTCTTGGAAACTGCCTTCAGTATTAGATTGTTTTGCCTCTCGCTACTGCACGTAGTTAACAATTTACTAGCAAGCTCTTCAGAGATAACCCGAAGAAACTAAAACGTATCCTGCCTTTTAAACTATTCAAGCAAAAGCTATTTCTTTCACTTCACAACTTAAATGCCGCCCTCCTGTTGGCTTTCCTCAAGTCATCCGATTCAGAGTAAAGCTACCCCTGCCAATCAAGCCACGGGCAAGGTGAATCTACAAAAGGAAGCGGAGGGGCTTAGAACTCCCCATTCAGTCAATCTATTCTATAGTTACATCCAAAACCTATGTGAAATAAAAAGCAAATTTCCTTGGCCACAGCAGGTAGTTGTGCAACATTACATCTTAGCAGATTGGGTGCAGGTTTGGTCTGAGCACCAAATGGCTACCATCCAACTGAAACCTAAAATTACCCCAGTTCGAGAAGTCCTTTAAACAATCACATTTCTACCAGTTTTGTTTACAAAGAACATGAAAACAAACTCTTACTTGATCTAAAAGTTAAAAGTGAGAGCCAGGTCATTTAGCAGTGGCTGTCTGAACTGTTGGTTCTACTTGCAAGGTTACATTAAAACTGAAGTCCTAGTAACAGACTATTTTTTGTACTGTAATTAGGACTCCAATTGTACAGTCAACCAAAAGATCTTCTGCTAAAGTCAGTTATCCTCTTTACAATTCAAGGTTTCTGCTTGGGAGAAGCATAGCTGCCATCGGACACAGTTATCGACCAATAGTCGAGGGCTTTTTTCCTTAACAATAAGTCATCTGACTCGAGCTCCCTCAGGAGACTGCCAATTTAAGCTCTGGTAAAAGGTGGAGAACAAGCATTTTCTCAATAGTCTAGCACCCTGCCTTTTCATTCCCTGGACTTCACCCAAGACCTGGCTACCCATGGGCAGCATTCACGATGAAATATTCCAAGACTGTCCGTTTCCCTAGTGTGCTTCCTCTCTCATCTGAAACAAAACACTAGATTGCAGGTGATCACAAGTTAATTTGCATAATTTCATTCTTCCCATTGCAGAAGAGTAAAATGAGCTCTCTCCATTCCCTTGTGTATGTATTGTACTTTATGAACACCATAAGCCAGACTAATATATCATTGATTTAAAAACACTGCACAGAAGAATTCCTTTCTATAGGGAATACAAAAAAATTACAAAACAGAACAGACTTGCAGTTGTATTCCACCCCACCATTTCCTCACAAGCTCTTGCCCCCATTCCTCTGAATTTCAGATACAATTTTCAGTCTTAAGGTAAAATTATCTGGGGGCTTTCTTAGTGTAAGAATTTTTAAAAAACCCAATACAAGAATACAGTACTATACACAAGTAACCCAAAAAAGAATGCTAATATGGTATTTCTATGATCTGAAGATTATTCCCCATAATATCAGCACTAAATCTTTTATTTTGTTCTTCTTCTTCACTTTTGGGAGCAGATTGACCAGAACACTGAAACACTCACAGCACACCACCTGAAGTGGCTTACAGCTTTGCATCACTAAAGAAAAACAAAACAGATGAAGAGTGCTGATGCATCTGGCCTCTCATCTGCTACTGGTTAGAACATCATCATCAACATCTGCACTATGCAAATAGGGTACTGAGAATATACCCCTTCCTCCATGCATAAACTGGGCTCTTGGAGCTCAGGTGCGCACCCTAACAAGAAGGTGATCAGTTATTCCATGCGTGCATGGAAATTTGCTCTTTTGCTGACAAGGCATTCCATCCCAAAGCTTAGAAATCATTCCAATTAAGTTGTCACTGAAACTGGCATGTTTCCACAAGACTCAGTTTTGACAAATTGGCATTTTTTTCCCTGGAAAAAAAAAAGACATCTAGTCAAAAGATCCTCACCCGATTCAACTGCAGAGTATCTTTTGATAACATTTATTAAAAGCTGTTTGACGCATATTAATTTTCACGCCACCAACAAATTTACTTATTAGTAACTCTGAGGGGGACAGGAAGAGACATTTTACTGCACAGAGAGGTTTTCCTTTCTCCTTCACATGAGGGATCCCTGGCAATGACAAGGTTAGAATTCAGAGCTATTCACCCTCTCCTAGAAAAATCTGGATAATATTGTTGCAGGTTCTCTCAGCATGTTAAATCCCTTCTTTGGGCAGGTAAACCAGGGAAATGTTAGACTACAAGATTTAGTCCTCGCCTCTGCCTTCCTACTGTAGCCTTTAGTAAGCTCCATCCTCTGCTAGCATTTTATAAAAGTCAAGTCAATTGGGCCTAATTGCAATGATATCCTATTTAGCTTATGGAAAATAAGGGAAAAAAATAAACAGGAAGAAAGCTGCAGCTTCTTGCATGAAAACTAAAATTACAAACTGGTCCACTAACCTGCCAATCCACCTCTCTGGCCCATGAGAGCTCTATGCTGAATCAGATAGGATTAATGACTAGTACTTAAAGACTTAATTTAGTCACATTCCCATTTGTCAACCAAGATAGATTATGAAAATCAAGTGTGCACTCTCCCATCTTCCCCAAACAGTAAGAGCTGAATGCTCATTTACAGCTTGCTATAAAATTAACACTTTACTGGGTCCCAACAGTGCTCTTTAGCCTTTAAGACAACATTTTCCCATACTACCACTGGCAGTTTTGAAAGAAAAACTACTGACTGACATTTTAAAAATGATAATGAAGTACCGCACCGTAGGAGTAGAATCAGTCTTCATGCAAAAGTTTCATTAAATATTTACTATATGTCCCACCATTGTCAAATGCTTCAGAGAAGCCTCTGAAGTATCCGTAAATTAGAATCTACCTTGAAATAATTAAGATTTACCACTTTCCCACTTTGCCAGGGCTTCCATTATCCTCTCTACAATCAAGGTCAATCTTTTAAATACCAACAATCTCATTCTTGTTTTGCCTCCTATATAGTTTAAGTATACATCCATGTACTTTTGGAATCTTTAGTTCAGGTAGGAGAAGAGAAAATTGTTTTGTTTTTTAAATAAAATATTGTTATTTTGGCACATTGCTTCAGTTTATGATGATATTGACCTTGGTATGCAGTTTGCCTTAATGCCCAGCACTGGGTCTTTAGCCTATTTTAAAAGGCTAGCAAGTGGCATGTTATTGGAAGCCTTTCACATCCTTCTCTGCAGCTATGTGACCTTTCGAAATTCAGCAAATTTCTAATTCTAGGCATATTTAAGTAAGTTTGGTAGTTGATACTTCCTAAAATTAATGACTTGTCAGAAAAAAAAGTCAGACAGTATAAAGCCGTCTACTTCCAAAAAGAAATTGCCCCTGGGTGCCATTTCAATGCCTAGTTAATACCAGGAAATGGGAGTGAATTATGGCAAATCTTTAATTAATCAATTAATTTCAGAAATCCATATGAAGGATAGAACTGCTGACAGAGGTTTCTGTTCCTTCACTCCCACCACCATTAAAAGTGCCTGAAGGTCATCTGCAGGATACCAAGTCCCTGAAGCACATGGTGGAAAAAAAAAAAAAAAAAAAGCACTTTTTCCAGGCAGCATCCAAGGGATGGTGGCGCCACCTGTCAGCAAACACCTGACGAAATCACAGGAATAACCTGCATAAAAATTTCTAGTGAGCAATAAGTTATATGTATGTAACTGAAAATTTATCTTGGATATGGGGAAAAAGAAACAATAAAAGATGCAGTGAATTTAGGCATGAGACTCGTGAAAAAGTGACATGTGTCCTGAAGTCTCCAGCAACTAACAAACCACCTGAAAATAGACAGCGTTACCTTGCCTTCTTAATATTCCTAGCTTGTTATATTTCCCAAACATTAATGTCACAGGGATGAAAAATGTGGCATTTTATCCCCAAATCTGCCAAGCAACTTTTAGATG